AATGTGTTTATTGAATTAGCGGCGCGTGCGTTCTCCGGTTGCACATGGGTTGATACTTGTTAGGGCTCGAGGACCCCAAAGAACAAGGGTTATCTTGACGGTTTTTATTAGGCAGACCACTTGTTAAGGGCGTGAGGTTTAAATAATATTTATATTAAACATTATGTTAAAAAATTCCGTATTGTTTTGAGTATTGTATAGAATTATTAAGTGGCTTTTGCATCAAGTTTTATAAAGCATATTTATGTAATACAAATCATCTTTAATGATGACGCGATGTAAGTGTTACAAGATAAGATGAAAGGTGTAAGAGATAGCGTACAAAGAGCCAGACGTCACCAACAGTTTGTAATAGAAACAATGCAGGTGTCGTGTTACGAGGAGGGCTGGCATTAATTTAATTGTGCCCCACCCGGGGGAGTTGTATGGGAGTGCACGAATTCAAATGTCAACTTTTTGCGCGTGAGAAAAAAAAATCTCTCAAGAAATCAAAAGTGATTCGTATCATCCCTCGCGACGATCGAGTTACGTGCGTCGCGGAATATAAATCTGTTGATGTCTTTATTGTTTTATACCAATGGAACGTCTGGATTTCTTTACATTTATACAGCGAAGTTGATACGTCACTATTAAAACAATAGCTCTTAGTAAAGCAGTACAATGTACAGCTTGTCTATGAAAAATCATTACAGTTTTAATGTAAATTAATAAAAAAAGCATAACATTTATTAAACTAATACATTTGAATGCTAAACAATTAAAACGTTCGTCAGCATCGTCTATATATATTATGGGAGTGTGTTTAAGGAATGAAAAGAAAACGCCACTAAAATCGAAGTATCTGAAGACCCTCTAGAGTCCTTAATTAAACTCGAGGCACGTAGCACTCCTTGATTCAGTTCCCGGGGGTTCCCCCAACCCCCCTTCCTTATGGACCGCTTAGATTTCCACCCACCCGCTACTGCGGACAGAATTCTCTAAGACTTGAATCTTGTACACGGAATTGGTTTCGAGATTGGACACTCAGTTTTAGATGATTTTTCCTTAACTTCTTGTTTATTTCGACATAAAATATACGACTTACATTATACATAGTATATAACTATATTATACGATAAAATTGTTTAAAATGTAGGGAAACAAGAATTTCAGTGAATTTTATAAAATCTTGGATTTCCACCCTCATTTGCATGTCATAATCGTTTTCAATGAAAACCGTCAGAGTCTTACGGATCCAATTACACAATTACAATTCCTTTTAAGAAGTCTTCAAATGTCTTTTTGCTATTTTTTGAAAGCATTTTAAATGTAATCAAAGGGTCGCATGTAAAGATCGTAAAATTTAAAAACAGACCTATTTATTGAATTCTTTTTTAGAGACCAATATTATAATGGGCTGGTATATGAAAAAATACGTATTAAACAATGAAATGTCAACTATAAAAGGTACTTATAAAACTAAAAGGATTTATAAATTTTATATTGTATTGCATCGAAAATGTATTGTATAACACAGATAGTAATTATAAAGTTCAGATATGAACGCTGCTATAATTTAATCCCTTAATTGCATAACAATGCAAACCAATTTCCTAAATGCTCCTTAATTCTTCACCGCAAACCGCGGCCGGGATCGGGAAGTAATGGCAAAAAGGCTTAAAAAGGGAACAGAGAATATCAGCCTCTGTGTAATTATCGCGAGAGCTAATGTGCCTCTTGTTTATTCCCTGACTAATTAAGAGAAGGAAAAACGTTTAAAAAATTGCCTCACCGGAACATTCTGGAAATCAAACATTCATAACGCGGTACTTCCATTGAATCCATTCTGTTATTTCAGTCTATTTTCATTTTACTCCTTCTTTTTTATGGCTATCATTTTATTACTCAATCATTTCACAGAGTGTTTTGTTTATTTTATATAATATAAAAACTCACGTACATCCATATGTAGTAGGCGTCCCGTACACAAGTAAGTTAACAAATGACTATCAGGTAGGGGTTGAGTAACAAACTTCGGCTCAATTAGCGTCGAATTAAACCGGTTCTAAGAGGTGACAAATCGCGCTCCGCGGTCTTACAGCCTGACATTGACTAATAGCTCCCCATTTAATTTAGCCGGCGCAATTATAAATAAAATTTCGACGATAAATTGCATGGTGGCACATTAATCAAGAAGTTAGGACGCTGATTAAAATGCTGTTCGTGAACTATTTGATATTGTTAATAATTAACACGTAGGGCGGGATGATCAAATACGAGCCTGGAATACGGGATTCTGCTCGATTACACATAGCTATTATGTATTAACACTATTTGTATGACCTATATATACATATATGGATATAATTAATTGGAGAAAACGTCGCAGAGATTTTAAGAAGACAATTTTGATCTATATAACCAATAATAACCTGTCTATTGTGTTGCTCGATAGGGTCATCCATAGCTATTTTAATTAGAAATATTATTGCACGAGTCATTATATACCTAAATATTCAATTATATATCAACATATATATGTATATAGGAATTCAAAAGTAGTTATACAAATAAGGTACTTAATAATTTTTGGTTTACTTAATTAAGTATATATGTATTTAGATCATAAAAAATATTATAGGTATATACATGTCTCAAGTTTAATGTAAAACATATAACCATCTGTATGTGATTTGGATGAAGACATATAACTTTTATTTCAAATTTCATTTGCATTATATTTCATAATAAATTTATTACTATTAGTACATAAAGGTTTACTAAGTAATTTGTAAGTATATAGTATTACTAACATCCTACAGAAACCGATCAATCCTTCCAACAAACAGTGGTCACAACAATCAAAACAACATTTCAGTTCAAGTAAATTAATTCACCACATCTACAGACATAGCCTGAAACATACGCAATAACTAACCAGACCTTAGATCGTACATCTCTGTCACACACTATACATTATATATAACTATCTCTATCACACCTACAGGAGAGCAATGAAAAGCGAATCTTCGCAGAATCACGGAACCCCCACCCATCTTAAATGAACTGGGGTGAAGTGTACATATTTTGATAGGTATGGATGTTGAAAGCTCGGTATTTCTCTAGCGTTTTATGTACACGATAATGTATTTATATTTATATATATAGTATTTTATATATATCACAAATAATAGATTCATTTCAGTAATATTATAAATGCGAAAGTAACTCTGTCTGTCTGTTACGCTTTCACGCCTAAACCACTGAACTGATTTTAATGAAATTTGGTACAGAGATAGAGTTGACCTTGAGAAAGAACATAGGATAGTTTTTATCCCAGACTTTTGAAAGGTTCTCTTGGAAACGCGATATAACCGAAAGCGAGCGAAGCTGCGGGCGGAAAGCTAGTAATGTTATAAATATAGACTATAGGTTAATAGATGGCTATAATAGTCTAGATTCTAGATGGTCTAAGACCTAAGTGTTAGTACTTGATCCGTTATTTTCACAGTGGATGTCATTATTAACGAAGCAAGGGTCTGAATCCTGAATTATTCATTGGCTACCTCTCCCTTAAAGTGAGTCGTTTGATGTTTTTTTTTTCAGTGGGGTTTAAAAAAATCGTTTTTGATTATATATAATACAAGAACCGGCGGAAAATTTGAAAAGAAATTTTAAAATTGTTTGTATTAGAGTAATTAAAATACTCAAACATTATCTATTGCTATTTATATAAAACATTTTATGTAACAGAATGGTTGATACGATATATTTTTTTACTGAAATAGTGTTAAATAATATCTTTAATATTGTAGTAGGTTGGTAACGATTTACCCCATCCATTGTCAAAGTGATATAAGAATCTCAAAGACAGTTTAGGGTTAAGTAGTCGTAAGAGCGTCCCAAGAATCTTATCCCTTGGCTTAAGTGTTAACGAAACAACGTCATCTCACCGCAGCATCTTGTATTCATGATCATCAAACACACTGGCCTTTAATTCGGATGATTTGTTTAGAAAATATTTGAACACCCTGTATATTGTAACATTTACTCAAATTATAAATATTATATAAATGAAACTTATACTTTAGGATATACTACGCGTGCTTTATTTTTGTAAAAAACTACATACTACTGACGTTTCGGTTACTTTTCAGCAACCGTGATCACGGACAGACGAGTATGTATGTAGTAAACAATAACCTAATAAATTAGTAACCGAAACGTCGGGAGTATGTAGTTTAAAATAATAAAATATGCGTAGTAATCCGAAAAATATTAGTTAAATTTAAATGAATACTCTTGAAATTCTTAGATCTCATTAAAATATATAATTTGATTGTAACAATTACATAGCTCGTATCTGTTTTATATATAAGATTATATTGTTTTATATAAATATGAATGTTCGTTATTATAATGTCGCATATTATTGTAAGCCGTGTGTATTTGTAACACAATCGCCATATAACGCTCCACAAACGGCCCCGTCTTCCCGTTATTATAAAACGCCCTAACTCATCTTAGGTGTTAATGTGCATTAATTATGTGGAAAGTCCCTAAGATGTTGTGACAGATATACCACTTTGATATACTGTGGGTATAAATGGTTAAGTTACCTTGAATTATTGCGATCTTAGTTAGTATTAAATGGATTATGAGATGGGTTTGTTGATATGTACCTATGTTGTGTTGAAATATGGACGGTCATTTAAAATCGTTTCTACATTATAATTGATTATTAGACAAGAATAATAATGATGCAATATTAAAATTATATAGGTACTAATATACGATGTATAAAAGTTGTCTTCTTATATATTTTTTTTATCGATACATAAAGTTTTTTTTAATCCTTTATACATATATTATTTGAAATCTGATGAAAGGTTACAAGTTTTATTTATATTTGGTTTACATATGTATATTAAATATTATTTAGTTTCATAGAGTAGAGAAATTTTGGTTAAGCTTTAAAGTACATATGTCTATAGAGTTCTTAAAAATTATAAAACACTTACCAGTGTGGATGTAGGTATGTTTCTTCATATCTGATTTCTGATGGAATCGTTTCCCGCAGTACTGACACGGGTAGGGTCGTGTGTCGGAGTGTATCAGGAGGTGTGTCGACAGTGTACTGGATCTCTTGAATGTCTTCCCACACTGCTTACACTCAAACACCTTCTCCACGCTGTGGACAGCCCTGGCGAATTATTGAGCTAATATTAAAATGATCATTCCCTCATATTAATATGGCGATAATGAAACGATTTATACTTATACTGGGACTTGGATTATGGGTATGTAAATCAAAATACTGAAACGAAAGCAATATTTTTCGGATTACTATGCCCACTTTATGATTTTAAAAACTACATTTAACCGAAACGTCGGGAGTACGTAGTAGTAGTGTAGTATGTAGTTCGTAATCCGAAAACTATAAGTTTCATTTAAATGAATACTAGCGAAAGTCGTAGATCTTATTATGTTTAAACGAATATAATTGCTAACCTATGTTGGCTCAGGCTTATTTCGTGGCCGAATGTCTTGCTGCAGAGCTCGCAGGCGAATGGTCTTTTCCCGTTGTGGGATCTCCTTGCGTGTACTTCTAATCCATGAGGTGTACTGAACATCTTCTCGCATTTCACGCAAGAGTATACGTCGCCAATTGGTAAAGGCCTTGATAGGGGGCTTGGTGCTCCGAGTACTGCTGCCCTCAATCTTAAGAGTTCGGGACCCGCAGCCTGAACTGCGTGCAGGTATAAATTGCTATAGCCTCCCCAGCCTGGCAAACCAAGATTTCCAGCATCTCTCAAGAACTCAGCGAACGGTAGCGGTGGATATAAGAAAGGTCGCTGAGGCTGCACTCGCGGAGCATCGGGTCTTAATAAGGCGCTCACAGAAAACGCCTCGGATCTTTTTAATGGTGGCGAAGTATCTGGCGGTCTTCTTGGCGAAGATGGCGGGGAGTCCACTTCCAGTTCAGGGGAACTTGAACGAACCGAGCGAGGGGAATGAGGTGATGGATCCCAACACGGACTACCACAGCGAGATGATGGTGATAAGTTCTCGGCTCTTGAAGTCTCGTTGTTATGGGACTCGCTATCTTCTTCATCAGTTCTTTCACCGACCAGACGATTGATGCCGAATTTAATTTCATCTGTAATAAAAAGTAAATCATTAAAAGGTATCCTAATATGTAAATAGTCGTTCAAGAATCATTGAATTCGTATCTGAGTGTCAGTATTTGGTACAGGGCGTTTAAAAGACACAATGCAATTCAGTTTTGTTTGCTAAAAGAGCACAAAGGACGTCGTAACGCCCCTAGGCCCGTGAAAAAGCGCAGGTGCCGCACTTGTCGCTCCGAACGAAATGAGCCGTTTCATGTCGCAGCAGCAAATTGACTTTCATCTACTCTACCCCTCGTCCAACCCTAGTAATTAACACGTCCTAAGGGGAGACGGCGATCTTTTTTACGATTCACTAATCCGCGGGCGCGGGCAAACGAAACTACATTGTTGGGTTATTTAGTTTGGCGGGTCGGTTCGTTGATTTTGAATACCAGGGAATTATTGTGCTAAAATAAATATATAAATAAAAAGGCGTATAATATTATAATAAAGTAATAATTGATTATAAATGTTTTGCTTACTTTTCTCTTCGCTTCACAAAAATTTTATAGTTGATACATTTGGTATCATAACGAATTCTTTTTTAATTAAAACCTTAATAATTACATAACAGAGTTTTTTAAACAAATTAAATATGAAATGTTTTAATAAAATATTAAGACGTTGAGGGCGATCTTCATAAATAATGTACACATCATCAAGTAAGCATCAGCCGCGGACTCACGCTGTCCAAAAACAAACATCCATCTCGAGAGGAGACAAGCTACACTAATGAAGAGCGACCCTCATATCTGAAACAGCGCAGCTGTCGTCATTCAGGGCGGAACCAATCGCTCGCCTCGCCAGAACTCACTGTGACTTCCCTCAGAACATTTTACGCTCCGGCCATCAGAATCTGCACAGTTTAGGGCCATACACTTGTTTGTTTGTCCCCTCCGCGACACGGTTTTATTACCCCATAGTATTTATTACATATTAATGGTTATTTAGATTCATTGTTCCGCTGCTACAGTATGCTCGAATTCATAGTCTTGCGAAAAATTGAATAGCACCCCATCCATAGCGATGGGGTGAATTGTAAAGATGGATATTGTGCTAATATCCACTGTTTTGTAATAAGATAATTTAACTTATTTGAACTTTTCATTATTATGGGTCTATTCACGCATTATTGTTTACTAACATTACTATTGTTATTGCGATACTGTATAATATTAAAATGATTTTTTAAGAGCAGTATTGAAGAAAATTATAAACATGATATCTTTAAAAGAAATTGTTCAACCTGTATTTCATTGAGTTCAGTAATCATTCTAGTGTTAGTTAGTCTTGTTACACAAACCATATAAAAGTCAGACGATTCCATTTTTATCCAAACATTAGCATTAAGCGTCATTACTGTCCAGCTATTTGCGAGGCTAATGCAATTTTAATTGTAAGAGGTGCGGCCACAAATTGCATAATGCATCCACTACCCGAGCTGACTTCAAAATAAAGAGCCCTAACTCAAAATATAATAAGTGAATCATAGAGTTAAGAAAAGTTATGTAACTTCATAGTATGACATTGGAAAATTTTAAGTTAAAATTTTCATCTTTCTTTGATATTTTCAAAGAAAAACTTCTTAAATAAATAGGTCTTGGACTTTTAGCTATGTACCTACTTCAAAATTATTAAAAGTAAAGATAATTCAGAACAGATTAAATTAAATATTACAGAACAATTAAAATTAGATGGAATTTGAAGCAAGTAATTTAATATAAATAACTTTATTTAGTGCTTTCTATTTCATAGTCACAAAAATTATTGAATAACAAATAATTTATTAATAGTAAATTTATTTACTTTATTAATCTATCATTATATTTGTAGGAGTGTATCAGTATTCAATTCGACAATACATTCAAAGAAGTCATAATATGCGAAGTCACGGCGCGATCATTAATCAAGATTGGTGGAATTTATTAGTAATGATCTAACTTGAATGGGGAGTGTGGTTAATTTCATTTTTAATAAACATCCCGGTTACTGTACACCACATAGCAGTTAAATTAAACTATTTTTTCACTGACCCGTGATCGGTATTACTGTATAAAAATTCTACTCTATTCTATAGAGAAATAACATTTTAAAATTGGTCTCAAATTTCGCCAATGTTATTCTAGATTTATCCATAACCAATTATATTCTAATTACACACACACACATACAAAGTTTCTCATCAACATTTTACGTACAAAAGTATATATAATTTTATTACTTATACAATAAATTTATTTGTGTTAAATACACCATTCCAGTGCTTGTTTATCGTCATTTTAAAAATCTATAAATCAAATGTTATCATTCCATTTTAATATCACATATCAGTCGCAATAACATTTTAAATCCCATTTATCTACAGGGATTAGCCAAAATTTAGATTGTAAATTAAATAACTATATAATACATCAGACTATTTATGTTTTTACATTAGAATCAAAAGATTATCTACAAGGTGCTAATAAAAAATCGAAATTCGTAAAAAAATAACTCGCATAGAATGAAGGCTAGATGTATTTCAAAATTGCAGAATAACTATGTAAATTTATATATGTATATTTTATTTTAATATGTTATATTATAAATTTTCCAAAGGATCTCTGTAAAATCATAAAACATTATCATTGAGCCGTAATCAAAGTGGATTTCTTACACTAATTCTTTTACCGGGCATTAATCAAAGTAGTCGAAGGTCTTCAGTATGAGATTACAATAATATTTCCTTTGGTATTTATACATTTATCGCTTACCTACTGTTCTTTTAATGACATTCACTTACAAGTTACTTATTATTTTACAACGGCTATTGTTTTTAACTGAAGCAATTAATTTGTCTATAAAATATATAAACTAAAACTATAAGAATGATTAATTATTGCAACTAGAAAAGTATTTTTTATTATTATTATTTTTGAATTGCATTTAAAATATATAATCGTTATATCAAAATCGATGACTTTATCATTTAATCATATAATAATTATTATTAATTAATGAATAAAATATTACTTTAAAATGGTATACAAAAAACTGTGTAAAATTGCAAAAGTTTTTATATACTCGTATATGTACACATATATATATATATATATATATATATATATTGTAAGGATAATATTAGTAATCTATATGAATTTATGTGGAAATTTTTGTTTATGGTTACTACAAAATATAGAGCTTAACTGTTTGAAAAACATTTTAATGCTTAATTTTTGTTTAGTTATCCAGACTTAAAAGCATTTCTATATTTGTATATTTCTTCATTTAACGTTCAAAAACTAAAGTTAAAATTAACTTAACATAGAAAATATTACATAATGATTAAGTTTAAAGATCATCAATTCAGCAAGTTATATCGCTAAGAATCAATTAAATTATTATTTTTTTGTATGATATTTCTAATAGTTGAAAAGTTTAAACTAGAGGCACGTTGTTGTACATCACATACCTTCAAGAAAATTTTTGCATTGACAGATCGGTTTTTTTATACATATCTTTTGATAAATCAGGTCTTAGAGCGGCGAGATCTGAAGATCTCAAGATATATTGGGAAGGGATTAAGCCAGCCGTACCCAAGATACGGTGACATACGTCACTTGACATTATTATCGAGAGATTTACTTAAATCCTAAATCGTTACATTTGTAATATACACCTTAGATAAGGGTTTATAGCTATATAGAAAAACACGTATTTGTTTACTAAAATTCTGTTATATAAGGAAATATTTGAATAAATATTATATATGACGTTTCGAGAGGAAACGGGAAACGTTTTTTTTTTTAATTTAATCAAAGGTTAAGGTACATAAACTTTATCTCGGCGGCGCCTTTGTGTGCGGCCCGATTTCTCTTCAATGTTTCCACGAATTATTTGCTGAAACAATAGCACGTTTCATGTTTGTGACATTAACAATTTAAAATTCTACTATGGACCAATAAAAAAATCTTACGCCATTGTAATAAGATTCAAAATTGAGTCGACTTAGATGGGGTAACGGAAAATATACGTTTGCAAGTTTGTAAACATTGACGAAATGTTGCCCGCGGCATCTTTGAGATTAAATTCCGCCTCAATAATCATTAGACCGGCTAGATTTGTGATTATGAGCATTTAACGAGCTTTAATGAGTATTCACAAATCTTAGTTTGATGTCAGTCAATAAATATATTCAAAGCTAGCCTTCATTAGCCTTCAACGTTATCGTTTATAATGTTTGACCAAAATAAAACATGAGAATTGCACAATGACTTTTAAACATTTTTATTTGCTTTTCATTATTCTCAAACACGATATTCATAAAGTGATTTACGTATTGGCTCATGGTATAAACCTTGTTTAACCTAATAGTTATTCCAGAAACGACAACACTGCGTAACAATCAAGAGCCCCTTACTAATTCACGGGGCCCACAAAATTCAATTGTCATAGCGTAAAGTCACGCGAACTTTAAACAAGACTATAATGTGTCTGAGCCGACTTGACCACACTTGGCCAAACAATGAATAACAGGGCAAATAAAACTGTAGGGCGATGTCGTGACGCCCTGGCCACTTGGCAAATATTGAAGTTGGCGTGCACGAATGAACGACATTTGATTGATCGAGCATTCTGATCACCTTATGATGGAAATGCTCCTTTGCATCGCATGTACATACAATCCACACTGTATTTACATGACTCAAAGAATTACCACAACCAAAAATCCATTTCATATTTTATTATTTAAATTTTACGACTCAAATTTTGATAAAGAATAAATCTACAATAAACATTATCGGTTTGAACAACTGTATCTCATTTATGGCTTTATAGAACAAGCAAAAAATGTATGTAGTTAGTTATATGACCAAAAGACATTGCCTTTTTAGATTCCCCGAAAACATCATAATGTTAGACAATCCATACATTCCAAACAGCGGATAGTGTTATCTTGTAAACTAATGTTTACTTACAAGGGTACACATGTCCAAATCGGATTTACAACGTGCAAGACGAGGGCAGTGGAGGGACAGCAAATACAAGATTTATTTTAACTCCATCGATTTGACATAGAAATATTAACACAACACACATCAATCATCATTTAATAAGTTAAATGTATTTCATTACATCGAAAAGTATACGATTCAATGTTTGTGGTTAAAATAAGTTAAAGTATACATATTTTTTTGCCAACGACCCTCTTATCTGGAACATCGAAATATGTGTTCGATACATGAATTACAGCCATCATAACACGAACGTTTAAACTGTCGATAGTGTTATTGATAACAGCTTTGTCGCTGCCGCTTGAAAATCAGAGTCATAAAACAAACGTAATTTTGCCGAGCGATACGCGCTGTCGCTCTGATAAGATATGTCAGCCCAAATCTGAAGCCGTGGGATTTGAGAGCCCAATGTTATTGGAATTTCTGTGGGGGTATATAGGTACTTATGTGGCTTTTATTAAAAACGCCTTTGATGTCACCAAAGATATTATTAATATCAACTGATTATACTATACACTGTTGGAGGTAAAAGTTACAATTACTGTATTTTGGGTAACCTTGGATAAAGGACTTTTGTTAAGGCTATAAAATAAATATTGCATTTTATTTGTTCAATTATTTTAGTACAGAAAAGATCTTTCTTGCATAGATTTTTAATAGGAGTATATTGAGTAATTTCGCTTTCACGAACGAAAAAGGATGTAGGTATGTTCATAAAAAGTGATATTACCTCTTGGAGAATAGTTGTCGGTTGGTGGATGTGGTGACGGCAGACGTGGTTCAGGATGAGTGGCGGGAGACCACAGCGACTGACAGAGACCGTTACGAAGAGCCTCGCTCGCAGATACACCTGGTCACGAAAGAAAAATAGATTTTAGAGGACTTTATGATACATATGAAGTTATAAAATTATGATTGCTGTAAAATATATACATGCTAACAAAAAAAGGTTACATTATAAAAAAAATCTATACATCTGGATTCTATCTATTATTTTAATTGAGTTTAATATACTTCCAAACTATTTTCTCTATATTCATATTGATTACCGTAAAAATAATTTTAATCAAGATATTAGCAAATAAGTAATATGTGTGACAAATTATATGAAATATTATAGCATTAATGAAGCATAATAAAGCACGATGACGACTGCTTCCTCATTTTTATTCAACAATTAAATGCAGTGAATCACTTGTTTAATATGGGTTGGACTTTAGATTAGCTGATTAAACTAGTATGGATTTCACAGTGGTTATAAACCATGGGTTATATAGTGAGACGTATCAATTTGATACTTAGATAGAAGTATTTCTCACAAAATTAAAATAAGTTTTAAAGGACATATATGACAGAACATAATTATAAAACATCGTGTTTCTGAGTAACGTAAAATGCGTTTGATTGCGATATAATAAAAGCTAAGGAAAGGCTCATATTAAAGACCCGTCCAACAAAACGGTCCAATTGCTTTATCAACGAAGTGTTACGACTTGATTTGCTCGATTGCACGCCGTCGGTATTTACAAATTGAAATCTCATACTAACATAGGATTTTCAAATATATAAACATCTATCCAATATGATTTATACATAGGGAAAAAAGGTAAATAGATTATATCTATGTAAAGTTCAATTTAAAATGCTAGCTTGATCAGAGTATCATTCTAGACATCATGAGATCTAAGACTTTTGTAAATATTCATTTAAATGAAATTATTCGAATTGCTACTCGTATTTTGCCATGATCACGGTTGCTAAAAAGTAACCGAAACGTTGGGAGTATGTCGTTTTTTAAAACGATAATATAAGTATAGTAATTCGAACAATATAAGTTTCATTCTAGCCATAATTATTGTAATCGGTTTGAAAAAAATTAAAACAATTTTCATGTACTCTAAAAATTATAGATAATTTTTTATCGGAACGTGCATTCAGGTAATCACAGCTACGGATACAAGATAAGAGTCTTGTAATTACATTTATCGTGTCTAATTGCATGTAATACTGTGTTTCTGATAGGTTACAGTACATTACGTTTTGATGAATGGTTATTCCATTTGCAAATTGGATACACTCTCGTAATTTCTGTTTCAAATTTTGCTAATAAGTTTATTAACATTGATATGAAGTCCAAGTAATACCTACCACGCGATCTTGTACTTGGTTTTCAATAAGAGAATATCATACGGATTTATCGTACGTTGAACGGATTTTGAAACAGGATAAGAGCGATAAGAGCAAGGACAATCACAGCATCCTCAAGGAAAAGAGCAATTCCATGGCGCCAGAGCGGCGGACGAAACCTAATGGACATCACTGACTGTTAAACGAAATATTATTTATTAATTATATCACGTATCGAACCAGTTTACTAAAGATATATACATTTGTTTAGTAACGTAAAGTAATAATGTCATATTGAATAATTATTTCGAAAATAATTTCAGTGTTGAATAACTGATGGTGATATACATATGACATTGGCGAAATTTATAATGAAACATCATTAACTAAGCAAGAGAGATAAAAAGAGAAAGAAAAGTCATGGTAAAATAGAAACAATAGTCAAATTTATTGTAAATCATAACCCATTTCTACCAGCCCAGTGACCTCTATTCTATGTGAATCATAGAACAAATGAGTCAGAGAGTCAGGAAACAAAAACTGTAAGAGCACGGCGCCAACGAATCAATGACCGCCGTCCTGCGCGGGCGCATCTCTAATTTGTCCACTACCACAATTGTACCCTCTCTTCCTGCCTTGTGTTATGGTACAAGTTTAACATAATACAAATATTTAATTATAACACATACAATTTACAGTATAACGTCTTTGAGAAGAATATTATATGGACTAAAATACACAGTCTTTTTTTTCTATGTAATTCCTATGTAAAGTATAAGCGGCAAGATTCCACATTCTAATCGCTAACGCTTGTGACTTAAACTATGCTAACGACGCGTGCTGACAAGTCCCGAATTTGAAAGACATTTTTAACGATTTAAAATGTCATATATTTGACAATATCATTCATAACTTACTATTAAGTTAAAACATATTTGTATATATAAAATTTTTATTAGTTCTAGATCTATGATAAAAATCTTTCGGTTCACAAATATAAATGAATTGTAATGTGCAATCTATTTTTATCGTTCGTTGCTCCACAAATAAATCAAAATCAAGTGAAAGAGTACGTTCAATTAAAACTGCATCTATAAATAGCATCAAATAACAGATTAATTGACCCGATCTTGAGTGATCTCGAAAACAATGGGCCGCAATTTTTATCGTTTTATAATGAATTTATTTTCCATTAACGCAATAGATGTTGAAAATACCTTCGCATTTCTTAAAGATATTGTAATTTTTCATACATTAATAAAAGTTGTTAGTTCTGGGTGTGAAGTTAATTAATAATTGGTCGTATTAACTACTAGATGAGTCTAATATTATATAAGTTGATGAAACTGTTTGATTTGCAATAGAAGTGTTGTCAGTCAGACGGCGCCGTGTAGTGGCGCCCTCTCAAATAACCGCGCCCCGGAGTGAGGATCATTCAATTACGATTGACTTTATAGCAATTGTGATCATGATGCAATTTATGCAATTGATAAAATTGTTCTTCTAATATATTTTTTATGATTACATATTGAACGTTCAGACAAATTGTCCCGGTGATAAATTGTTCATTTTATGAGTGTCCACGCTTTTAGATATTTTGAATAAAATTTACAGTAAAATAAGTGTATACATTATATCATTAGATCAGATCGCTTTTATTTTTTATTCACAGTAGAAGCAGTTTCCTAAATGCAATGCTAAAAATAGTTAACACAATTAAATGCATATATCCTCTTACATCACTTATTAATAATACTCGTAAAAAGTTTCATACTAACCCACTTAAACCACAAATTGATAATATTCTACATTATAAAATCAATTCATTTTGACTCTAAATATTAGTTCACCTTGTTAATGTTCTTATATATATTTTTTCAACTACTTATGTTAGTCCTTATAAAGTAGGCATTCGATAAAGGTAATACCACACGCGTTATCATCAAAGAGCACCGACAATTACGGATAGTTGAAACAGTAGTTCGTTCTACATCAATGGCTCCGGGATCATTCAATCAATTATTATTAGCGACTACTGTATTACAATCGACAACTATTCGTTTAATGCAATGCAATCTGTTGTCTATTACGATGCAACAAGGACATAAATCGTTTGACACTAATAGGACTAACGAAAAAATTGTATTTTTACAACTACGTCTTAATGAATCAAACTCTTATATGTAGCGACAAAAGAAATAGGACGTATAACCGATATATATGTATAGTATTTTATGTATATTAAAATATTCTATGTTATAGTAAGGATTTGTTTTTATTACATTCAAATCGTGTAATAATTAATACGCTTGTTAGAGTCGGTGTTTGATTACTTAACTGGGTGGTCATCACAGAACGTATTTACAACGACCCACTCACTACGAACGGATGCTGGACGTCATCCTTCTTAATGCAATCCTTATAAAATTAATTCATACATTTTATTCTAATAGCCAATTGTATTGTATAATGATATTGTTATGAGCTGGATGTATGCAAAATTTCGATGTCAAGTGATGAGTATTTCATTATGCGGTGACTTGCTGTCTACTGGGTATTCGTTATCTCAGAACACTGGACCATTGTTCTTCACAACGGCACTTTTATTAGCGACAGTATTCAGGTCGGTAAGGTCGCCTCTTCCTCGACATACGATAATATTAACAAAATAAAATTGCTATAATTAAAACCCCTAATCACTTCTGTGAATGTAATCGCTGTGTTAAAGGAAATAGTTTATTGTTCGCTTCGTTAATACCTATTTATCTCGATGGCAACAATTTTGCTTTTGTATATATTATAATATTGTTTTAGATTCGTTTATAACGTTGTGTGAGTTACGAGTGCTAATTAATATTCAAAATGTCATAATTATAACATCCTATAAGGATAAACAATGTTATCATAAAAATTTAATTAGCTAAAAAATTATATTAAACACACTTTGAGAGTGAATCTGGAAGTGTTGCATTTGTTAACTGATTTAATATTTATGTACTTTTATTTCTTAAAGAGAAATCTTTAGCTTCTCGACATATTTAAGTTAAAAAAATGTATAAGTTATGTAATTAATAATATTATATTCCTCGCTATTAGTCTAACTCAATGAGTTATATATGGAGTATTTTATGTGTTTAATTTTGGCAATATGAATGATAGTTTCAGGGTCTATAAGAGCAGTCAAGTTTAATAAAGCTCGGTTCCCACGGCGCGGCCCACACAAGATTACTCACAGCGTTTGTCATCTGTTGTAATTGATCTAAGATCTAGTTGTGAATTAAATACATCGCTACTGACACCATTTTTGGGTCAAGTTTATCTATCTGGTTTTATGGTCCCTTATAAATTGTACACACACTGAAGCGTGTATCGATATTCACTATGTAGGAAGATATTATTCCTAATACTTATTGTAAGTGTAAGTGTAAAAGGTAATAGGTTCTTTAAGAACGTTGCACACTGCGGTCTGTGGAATTAGGGTTGTAGCTAATTTGGCGAACCTACGAAAATGTTGGAAAAAGTTTGAGAAACAATTAAATTGTACCCGGAGCTGATTGTCGTGCGAACGTGGAACGGGTTAAGAGGTGTTAATTGTTCGTGATTGAATGTTTTCTCAGGGAATTTCAATTGGACGCAATTGTTTGTCTGCGTGTTTTGACTCTGTATACGTTCATCTCATTCTTTCTTTGCATCATCTCCATCATTCATCCCGTTCGTTTCATT